AAAAGAATTACTTAGCTGATTGTGGAGATTTCAGTTCATAATCAACTGGCTCCAACATAGGTTGGCACATGGCAAAAATATATATATATTTATTTATTGGATACAGGGTCTCACTACATAGTTCAGACTCATAGTGATCTTCCTGTCTCAGCCTCCCCATCACTGGTATTAAGAGTTGTGAGCCACCATGCCTGATGTTGGGGCTAACATAGTGTGCCCTGGGTTCTGGAGCTGGCATGCCGTGTGGTACTGGGGATCGAATTCAGGTGTTTGTGCTTGCAAAGCGGGCACTTAGACTGCTGAGCTATCTCCCCAGCCTGTACAGTTTTAAAAAGAGTACTATTTTATGATTTAAAGTGGATTTTACCTTGTGAATTTATGTAAGCACCTGTAGCTAATAATCTTAGTCAGATTCAAGTCAATACCAGAATTTTCCTAATTGCTGGGCAGATAGAAGATAAGTAGTCTCACATGCTCGGTAGTTCAAATTCTTATTTCTGTTTGCTTCTTATTCAGTGTTGAATACTTAACAGGTGTTTGGTTTTTTTTAGCTTTAAGTAGGCTGTATAAAATTCTTGTGATTAAGGACTTACAAGAAACAGTAGTGTTAAAATTGTTTGCAAATGCACGTAAATTAAAGATTTACTTTCATAAACATTTTGTATTTATATGGAATTAGATTTTGTATTTGGTTCTTGAGAAAGGAAATTGAGGCATAAACAGATTTTTTTTTTTGTTACTAGTGCGGGAAGTGATAAAAATGACTAGGAACTCCACGAAAATTCTAATTAAATTCTACTTCTTTTTTATCTCCTGGGAAGATCACTGTGGCCATGCTTTCAATTGAAGTAAAAACATATAACAAAGTATACAGGTTCATAGCATCTCCAGTTGTAAGGCAATATTAACATGTAAAAACTTTTGACAGCATAATGTGGTGTAATTAAATCTAAATGAGATTAATACTTTTTTGTAGGGAAGGGTCTACAGGGTGTACAGGGTCTCACTACTAGATTGGAATTGTAGTGATTCTCCTGTTTACAGCCTCCCAAGTGCTGGGATTATAGGCATGTGCCACCAGTCCCATTCTCAATTGCTGTCTCACCGTGCCCCCAGGTGGGGCCAGCACGGCAGGGCCTGGGATCAAACCCCTGGCCCCTGCACCTGCTTGCAGGCACTTTAATCTGCTGAGCTCTTTGGCCGAACTGGGGTTAAAATCTAAGACCCTCAAGCATGCTAAATACTTGGTTTACCATTGAGCTACATTTGCAGTCTTTTTTGAAAAAAATTAAAGTCTTTTGTGTAGTTCAGTACTAGAACTCACATTGTAGCTCAGGCTGCTTAAACTCACAGTGATCCTCCTGCTTCAGCCTCCCAAATTGTATGGTAGCCCGGGAACTTGTGAGCCTTTTCTCTTAGCCTCCCAAGTAGGAGCGTATGCTATCTGCCCAGGGTAAAAGGTATTTTAAAAATAAGAGATTATGTAGAATGGTATAAAGTTAGGCATCATCCAAAATTATTTTTTTCTCATAAACAGGAGACCGCAGTGGTGGTGTTACAGAATACACGTACTTATGGAAAGGGCAAGCACATTAACAGTTTGTGTGGGTGAAGTGTTGATAGTTTTCTCAGTGTGTGTCTCTGTGAGATACAGCCCACTTTCTTATCTGGCACTCAGTTCACTAACTGATGTCTTCCAATACTGGAAGCAAAACTTTGAATCTGAGAAATACTGGTCACCAACAGGTAATTTTCTGAGGTGGTTTTGACTCGAGGAAGTGATGTGACATCATTGAACTAGTAAGTGTAATAATCAGAATTTGGGCAAAAGATGCATTTATGTATATATGCAGGATAATTTGGATGATTGCACTGCAATTTCTGCTGGTCTTTTGAAAGAAGCAGTAACTTAATTTTTTTTTCTTATTTTTAAAAAAATTTCTTATTTTTTTTCCTTAAACCGATTTTGCATATTTATGTCTGTTGACCTAAACAACTAATTTGAAGATAACTTCATGCAATACAGCAACCATTGTTGAATTCCTATTACTTTGTGTAGTGAAAATTTGTATCATTTCTAATGCTGTTTTTTAAAATTACTATTTTTGTGTTCTTTAAAAAAAAATATGGGCTGGGAGATAGTTCAGTAGAATAAGTGCTTGCCTGGCAAGCGCAGGGTCCTGAATTCAATCCCTGGTACCGCAAGATAAATAAGTACGTAAATAAATACAAATAAAATAAAATTCATTAGTCAGATATTTATCAGAATAGGTAAATTGGCATGGGCATTTGTCCTTTATCCTGGGGAAGCCATATTGTAGGGCCTAGAACGAAGAACGTTTGTGGAAGTAATAATTATATGGCAATAATAATTGGCATTGTGGGTTTTTTGAGTTGGTCCAGTTACAGCTCAGTTCTTACCTGCTTGTATGGCACTAGGCAAGCCACTTACCCCTCTTGAATTTTAAATTTCCTTATTTTAAATGCAGACGTAATACCTTCATTTCACGAATGTTGTTGGGATTAAGTAAGACTACAAATTTAAAATGTCTGAGAGTAAATGTGTATGTTTATCTGTACATGTTTCTTCATGAAGACATTTTTATTCCTTAAATGTTCTGTTGTATTTTTCTTTTAAGAGTATACTCAAGAGAAATAGTTTAATGAACAGGCACAGAGAAAATTTACTGAATATTTTTACAGTCAGTTCCCTTAATTGCTTTCACTACAATCATTAGAAAGTAATTTTTGAATCCTAATTCATGTTAAATAATGTGAGACTGTGGGAAACTTTTGCTTCCTAAAGGTATTAATTTGCCTAGTAGCTACATTTTGTTTTATTTTTTATGGGCATTTTGATTTAAGATAGTTTTACTTTTTAAAGACCTTTTGATTATGTAAAATGAGTTTAAAATCTAGTGATTTCCAATAGATTTATTGGCCTTGTCAGTTTTCAAAAGAAGCTGTTTGAATAATTTATCCTGTCTACAAAGAACGTGATTAGTTAAGTCGATTGTGCTATGCAGGTAATGACTATGTGATATGAAAGACTGAGCAGCTTGTAAATGTTTTCTAAGAGAAGAATAAAATGTTTGCCTCAATGCAACATCTTAATTTCCTTTGACATACTTTTGTATATTGTTAATGTGTTTCAGCACACTTCACATTGCGATGCATAATATCTAGTTATTCTCAGTGGCAAAAATGGCCTTGCTATCTTCCGTCTTAGTCAATGAGGAAAAGGAAGAAGATGGAGGGACGGAGTGGATGCTGCCTTTAAGCAAAGAGTTTCATTGGAAGAAAAAGTGTACACACGCAGTACAGCTTTCAGAAGTACCTGGTAATTATACACTGTTGTGTCTACACATGCACATAGATGATGCTGATGTCTGGCAGTTACTTTACTTTGGTGAGATGTGGATGTGTATAACTCCCTGAAGAGTAATTAAACAGGACAGGCCATACATAGAATAGCCAGAGCTGCCCAGCATGCCCCAGTTTCATGGATAGTGGTGGCCGACCTGGAATTTCTTCTGTGAGTATTCCACATTTGCACTTACTTCTGGAGAAAGGGCACAGGCAAGGGGAATTACCTCTTCATGTCTTTGTATATGTGCCTGAGAATGGGATGTACTCTTATAAATCTTTTTGCAAGGTCAGAATTCTAGGCACATTGCATGCAAATTCTAAGTTTTACTCACTTGTGACTTTAAAAAAAATGACGCTTGGCTTCCAGAGATATCACATGAGCCTTATGTAGGAATATGGTAATCATAGAGAGCTTTATTTCATGTAAATGGAGAGACCTAGTTTATAACATGATAGGATACAATACCTTAAACTGTAGATTCTAAACTGTAAGGTTTGATTTGGACATGACTTCAGTACTCAGACTGTCTACCAATGGAGGCATTGTTCTTTGGTCAGCACTGGAGGACTGCCCTCCCCAAGGGCGGGGTGTCTTAAAAGTTAAGATGGAACATAGAATCTTCAAACAGCCCAGGCATTTGAAGACACCCAAACATTTACAACGGACGCCTCAAAGACTTAACCCACTGAGGCACCAGCCAGCCAGAGAACTTTGACCACTGAGGTTTACTAAAATCTTCCCACTTAATATGCCTTGCCTTCTTTTGTTTTACAAAAACAAAACCCAAACAAAAAAACCTGCTTTCTCTTTCTTCTCCATAGATGGCTTTTTCACCCTCTCCCTGCCTGTACTTAGGCACAGT